GGCGGCTCCTGCCCCGCGGTGCTGTCCATGAGCCCCGAGGGCTTGAGCCGGACTCCTGACCATGACGGGCGGCCAGGGCCCAGCGCCGCTGCCGCCCGCACTCGTGGGCTCCTTGTGAGCCGCGGCGACTTGCCCGCCCTGGCGCTCTTCGCTGAGGCTCCCGGTGCCCACCCTCTGGCGTCCGGGCAGCGAGTGGCAGCCGCCGGGCGGTGTCCAGCGGCCGCCCCGCCGACCCCTTGCGTCGGCTGCTCCAGATGGCCTGTTGTGCGCTCCGTGGCCTCCCGGGTGGTGTGGGCCCGCTGACCGCCAGGCCCCTGGCTGTGTGAAGAACCAGTGGTCAGTGGTGCCGGGGGTACGTGTGGGAAGTGGCCCACACGGTCAGCCCCGAGATGCCCCGGACAGAAGCCATCCCCCAGATGGGGGGGCTGTACACCCCGGTGCCAGAGACGGGCTCCCGCGGCTGCTGGGCGGCACAGACCACGCTGTCCACAGAGAGGACGGCGCTCCGCGTCCCCTGCAGCCTGGGGACGAGGCCCGGCGTGGAGACCGTGCTCAGCCTGTCCTCCCTGGGCGGGCAGCTGTGGGGCTTCGAGGCTCCTGGTCAGAGCAGGGCCCTCGCCGGCTTGCCCGAAGCTGGCTCCGTGGCGGCCAGCGGTGCCGGGCCTCGTGCTGGCCGCCTCTGCCGTCCCTTCTCCGCGGGGCCTGCGCGCGGCAGCAGTGTGAGCTGCCTCCGGCTGACGCCCCTTTTGCTGAAGGCGTCGCCGGGCGCCTGCGGCCTCCCCTTTCCCTTCTCTGTGAGCCCATGGGGCGGCTGCGCAGGCGGGGGGCCCCGGACTTAGCGGGTGGCACCCCGAGTGCTGGCTGCGCATGCCGCTGCAGGGTCCCGGGGCCGGCGCCGAGGGCGGGGGGGGGCTGTGCCCAGCACGGCTGGCAGGGGTCTTGTCGGCCGACAGAAGCCGCCCTGACGTGGTGACGCTGACGCCCTGGGGGGCGCCCGTGGTCTGGGAGGGCACGTTCGACAGAGACGTGCTGAGGCGGCACTACAGCGCCAGGAACCTCACCGTCGGCCTGGCCGTCTTCGCAGCCGGCAGGTAAGGCCCCGCCTGAGCCGCGGCGAAACCTCACTGCTGCCTCAGTTTACCTGTTTGATTGCGGGTAAACAGCCAGAGAGGACGGTGTGCTGGACAGTGTCCGGATGACCGCCTCTCAGCCCACTGCCCCTCGCCCCGTCGTCACACCTGTGGCCCATGCGGGAGGCCGAGGGCACCCACGTGTCAGCCCCGGGCTCGCCTCGCCAGGACCCCTCCGGCCCCATCCTGGCGGCTGCGGATGGCACGGTTCATCTTTTTAACAACCGAGTAATATTCCACGGAGTGGCTGGACGGCAGCCTCCCGCCCCACTCCGGGGGGCCAGCACTGGGCTGCCCCCGGGCCCTGGCTGCGGAGGACACAGGTGTGGGAGGGTCACCCTGGTCTCCGGCGGATGCCCAGCGCAGGCCCTGGCCCTGCCGTAGAGCCACGGCGCGGCCACCGCGGGCTTGGGGAGGACAGACCCAGCCCCGCCGCCCGC